TATATTAAATCTATATCACAAATTTACAGTGTCAGATGCGCACAGACCGTCATTGGCGTCATACGGACATAAATTTTCGAGTTTTCTACTTCTACTAACATTTTTAAAGTTTTCATTGTGAATCACCTGTTTATCTCTAATTCATTAATCATTTGCTACTTATACTTATTTGATAGTGTCATATAGTGAATAATGCGTTTACACACAAGCAATCCTGGATATGATATAGACGATGCAAGCTGTCCATTAAAAAATAACGGTATTCTATTTCACAAAGTCAAAGCAAAAATTTAGATCTCACTTGTATTATTAAGAATGCATATACAGCAAAAAATTAAAGCTTATTCATGTCAAAACAAAAACTGTTTACAAAATTTATAAAGGTGGTGAACACTACTAAACAGTGCTCATTGAAAGACATGTATAATATAGTGACATATAATTTGTCGTTTGACTTATCTTTGGTGTATGATTTTAATACCGTAGATTTTCAACAGACAGCTATACTTTGACATATACCATGATCGTTGGTTTCAGCAATGCCAAGGGCCAATTTTATAGTCTTTTGACGGGCTTTAACTTTTTTTGATAAGGCCTTTAATTAATATATAGATCAACAATCTGGATACAGTTGGCGATATTTCGGAAATCAAAACATCTCGCTATTTCGTTGCAATTCCACATCTCATCAATAAATCAATTCTTTTGGTCCGAGTATCAGGATAGACTTTAATACTAAATAATAACAACCACCCTGTTCGGTCTAAAGATATATATTTTCTTGTAGGTTTAATATTGCCATGCTGCACAAGCGGCAAGCCGCCGCAAGCGTGCTTTCTTTGGCAAGTCTATAATGAAATCCGATCCAACTTGCTTGAATTGTAACTCGACACCAGATTATAGAGTAGAACGTCACGATATAAATATTAATTTAAGAGTTCCCTTTACGATTTCTTGTTGCAAATTTACAGTGAATTTCATCACCGAAAGTTGCAATTTTAAAACGCTACAAACACGCTCCTTTCCCACCCCTCTCACAGTTACAATTAAATTTACCTCCCAGAATCTGGGAGGCACGTGACCAGCCGCAGCCAGGGTCTCTCCCAGATGACAGAAGGAGAGACCCTGGGAACGAGGTTGCTTACCATGAACCATGCACACCACTGAGCTATACTTATACAGCTCAGTGATGCACACTTGCAAATAGAGACATTATTGGCAAAGGATTTAAATTACTGGCGTTTCCGCGTTTGCGGAAACGGAAACGTTGCGGAAACGCGTTTCCGCGTTTGCTTTTAGCCACGGCGGTCTGTGGCTAAAAAGTATACCTGATTTGAATATACTTTTTAGCCATAGTGCTCTGTGGCTAAAAATATATCAGATTTCGCTATACTTTTAGCCACGGCAGTCTGTGGCTAAAAAGTATACCTGATTTGAATATACTTTTTAGCCACAGCGGTTTGTGGCTAAAAGTATATCAGATTTCACTATACTTTTAGCCACGGCAGTCTGTGGCTAAAAAATATAGCAGATTTCACTATACTTTTAAAAGTATATCAGATTTCACTATACTTTTAGCCACGGCGGTCTGTGGCTAAAATTAAGTATACCTGATTTGAATATACTTTTTAGCCACAGCGATCTGTGGCTAAAAGTATGTCAAATTTCACTATATTTTTAGCCACGGCGGTCTGTGGCTAAAAAGTATACCTGATTTGAATATACTTTTTAGCCACAGCGGTCTGTGGCTAAAAGTATGTCAAATTTCACTATATTTTTAGCCACGGCGGTTTGTGGCTAAAAAGTATACCTGATTTGAATATACTTTTTAGCCACAGCGGTCTGTGGCTAAAAGTATATCAGATTTCACTATACTTTTAGCCACGGCAGTCTGTGGCTAAAAAATATAGCAGATTTCACTATACTTTTAAAAGTATATCAGATTTCACTATACTTTTAGCCACGGCGGTCTGTGGCTAAAAAGTATACCTGATTTGAATATACTTTTTAGCCACAGCAATCTGTGGCTAAAAGTATGTCAAATTTCACTATATTTTTAGCCACGGCGGTCTGTGGCTAAAAAGTATACCTGATTTGAATATACTTTTTAGCCACAGCGGTCTGTGGCTAAAAGTATATCAGATTTCACTATACTTTTAGCCACGGCAGTCTGTGGCTAAAAAATATAGCAGATTTCACTATACTTTTAAAAGTATATCAGATTTCACTATACTTTTAGCCACGGCGGTCTGTGGCTAAAAAGTATACCTGATTGGAATATACTTTTTAGCCACAGCGGTCTGTGGCTAAAAGTATGTCAAATTTCACTATATTTTTAGCCACGGCGGTCTGTGGCTAAAAAGTATACCTGATTTGAATATACTTTTTAGCCACAGCGGTCTGTGGCTAAAAGTATGTCAAATTTCACTATATTTTTAGCCACGGCGGTCTGTGGCTAAAAAGTATACCTGATTTGAATATACTTTTTAGCCACAGCGGTTTGTGGCTAAAAGTATATCAGATTTCACTATACTTTTAGCCACGGCAGTCTGTGGCTAAAAAATATAGCAGATTTCACTATACTTTTAAAAGTATATCAGATTTCACTATACTTTTAGCCACGGCGGTCTGTGGCTAAAAAGTATACCTGATTTGAATATACTTTTTAGCCACAGCGGTCTGTGGCTAAAAGTATGTCAAATTTCACTATATTTTTAGCCACGGCGGTCTGTGGCTAAAAAGTATACCTGATTTGAATATACTTTTTAGCCACAGCGGTCTGTGGCTAAAAGTATGTCAAATTTCACTATATTTTTAGCCACGGCGGTCTGTGGCTAAAAAGTATACCTGATTTGAATATACTTTTTAGCCACAGCGGTTTGTGGCTAAAAGTATATCAGATTTCACTATACTTTTAGCCACGGCAGTCTGTGGCTAAAAAATATAGCAGATTTCACTATACTTTTAAAAGTATATCAGATTTCACTATACTTTTAGCCACGGCAGTCTGTGGCTAAAAAATATAGTAGATTTCACTATACTTTTAAAAGTATATCAGATTTCACTATACTTTTAGCCACGGCGGTCTGTGGCTAAAAAGTATACCTGATTGGAATATACTTTTTAGCCACAGTGGTCTGTGGCTAAAAAGTATATCAGATTTCACTATACTTTTTAGCCACAGCGGTCTGTGGCTAAAAGTATATCAAATTTCACTATACTTTTAGCCACGGCGGTCTGTGGCTAAAAAGTATACCTGATTTAAATATACTTTTTAGCCACAGTGGTCTGTGGCTAAAAAGTATAGTAGATTTCACTATACTTTTAGCCACGACGGTCTGTGGCTAAAAAGTATACCTGATTTGAATATAATTTTTAGCCACAGCGGTTTGTGGCTAAAAGTATGTCAAATTTCACTATATTTTTAGCCACGGCGGTCTGTGGCTAAAAAGTATACCTAATTTGAATATACTTTTTAGCCACAGTGGTCTGTGGCTAAAAAGTATAGCAGATTTCACTATACTTTTAGCCACAGCGGTCTGTGCCTAAAAAGTATACCTGATTTGAATATACATTTTAGCCACAGCGGTCTGTGGCTAAAAGTATATCAGATTTCAATATACTTTTTAGCCACGGCGGTGTGTGGCTAAAAAGTATAGCAGATTTCACTATACTTTTAGCCACGGCGGTCTGTGGCTAAAAAGGAAGCCACAGTGGTCTGTGGCTAAAAGTATATCAGATTTCACTATACTTTTTAGCCACAGCGGTCTGTGGCTAAAAGTATATCAGATTTCACTATACTTTTTAGCCACAGCGGTCTGTGGCTAAAAGTATATCAGATTTCAATATACTTTTTAGCCACTGTGGCTAAAAAGTATATCAGATTTCACTATACTTTTAGCCAGGGCGGTCTGTGGCTAAAAAGTATACCTGATTTGAGTATACTTTTTAGCCACAGCGGTCTGTGGCTAAAAGTATATCAGATTTCGCTATACTTTTTAGCCACAGCGGTCTGTCGCTAAAAGTATATCAGATTTCAATATACTTTCTAGCCACTGTGGCTAAAAAGTATATCAGATTTCACTATACTTTTAGCCACGGCGGTCTGTGGCTAAAAAGTATACCTGATTTGAGTATACTTTTTAGCCACAGCGGTCTGTGGCTAAAAGTATATCAGATTTCACTATACTTTTAGCCACGGCGGTGTGTAGCTAAAAAGTATAGCAGATTTCACTATACTTTTAGCCACAGGGGTCTGTGGCTAAAAAGTATATCAGATTTCACTATACTTTTAGCCACGGCGGTCTGTGGCTAAAAGTGTAGCAGATTTCACTATACTTTTAGCCACGGTGGTCTGTGGCTAAAAAGTATATCAGATTTCAATATACTTTTTAGCCACGGCGGTGTGTGGCTAAAAAGTATATCAGATTTCAGTATAATTTTAGCCACGGCGGTCTGTGGCTAAAAAAATCAATCAATAATCACTATAATTCCAGAGCCTTCAGTAAATAATAAATTGAAACGTCGTGAAGCCTCTGGTTCAACGGGATGATTCTGTTTTGTGATTGGCGCGGTTTAATCAAAGAATCCACGACGTTTCAATTTATTATTTACTGACGGCTCTGGAATCGAGGGTATAAACACTATTGCTTTTGCAAAAATTGTAATTCATGTAAACGTATTTCTCTAAGGTGACCCCCTTAGAAACTGGGGGTCACTCAACCTCACTGGAGTTGGGGGTAATACGTGCGAATCGGGTGGGTATTTATAAGTATTAACCAAAATGATTAGAACTATTTTCCATCCAGCAAACCGCCCTGTCGATTTTCTAAAGTCGTTTCTTTTTGGATTTTTTTATTAATTCGGTTAGGGATAGAGTTAGGATCGCGGTTAGGGTTAGGGGTTAGAGTAGGGGTAAGTAGGGGTAGGGTTTGGGTTAGTTACATAGCCATTTAACACCTCTTCCTTCTTCCGAAAATGACGTCGGTCAGTTTGGTGGATGGAAAATAGTGCTAACCGGGAATCATTTCAGGTGACTTCACAGAATATTTCCAATGAAAAGATGGCGGACGAAGACAACCTTATAAAAGTCGTTGCAAAAACGACAAATACTAAAGAGACCATCGAGATCGAACCGAATGCCACAATCGGACAGGTAGCTGTGATTTTGAGCTTTAATACTGACGTAAATCAAAGGGAATTTACATTAAATTTGGTATATATTTGTCTAGTTCAAAGCAAAGGTTTCGCCAAAATTCAATGACACGCCGGTTGCACAGCTATGCCTCATATTTGCTGGGAAAATCTTAAAAGATGAAGAAACCTTAGAACATTATGGTAGGGACATCGCTTGTACAGTTCGCTTGAATGATTTTTAAATACGTGTTGAATGAGTGGTCGCCTTTGTTCTGTTCATGCAATATAATATAAATTTCAAAACATAACAAATGATCAGACTTCTAATGAATATTAATATTTCGAATATTTATATGTTATACTCCATATTCTTTGTTCTATACTTTGGGAAGAGTGTATAAGGCAAATTTTGTGGATGGAAAAAATATGCAATGGTTGTGTATATTTTTATTCTTTCCCAAACAAAACCCTGAACCAAATGTAAATAAAAGTGAAAGCATGGTACTGTAGTTGAATTAAAGAATAATGTACTTTGAACTCTGATAGTCTGATTGGCTATTGCTCCAACCCCTTTCCCCACATCACATGGTCGTTCATATCGACTGGCGGGAGGGTGCAATGGCCAAACAATTCTGTCGTCAAAGAACATATAGTGAAGCCTGGTAACAATGCCATCAAAGATTAAATTATTGATGGCAATTTTTTGATGATGATTATCAGATGCTTATACAGTTAAGCAATCTACCAGTTAAGCAATCTATATATATATATATATATATATCCTTGGTAGATTGCTTAGTTTATTGACAGATAATCAGTATAGGCAACGTTGTTACATGTTGCATTCTAACGCAATATGTTAAATTAAATTAATGTGTGAAGCGTGCCATTTATAATTTAACGGTTTTAATGATCTTTGGTTGCAGTAACACGTTGGAAATTATCTTAAAAAGTCGACATGAATGACGTCACCTTTACCCGGTCGACTGATATTATGTCATCATTATAAAATCGGTATCAGGTAGATTGTGGCATGAATAATTGGTAATTTTCAATAATGTTGCACAATCAGTCACTCACTATAATACATGAAATGGATCATTCCAGAAAACGTCCATACCTTCCCACAGAGGAAATTAGAAGTTAAACCCGGCCCTAATACATCCTTTCGGATTTCCTAATACACTTATTATTATTAGGAACAAGTTTTTCTCCCCTCCCCCTCCGTACGGCAAAAATTTCCTCCATGGGGGAAGTGTTGTTCTTTTCTGGAACATTCCAGATGACCTTAAAATTATCTATGAGAGAGAAAGAATTGCTGCCAAGAAAAACTGGTGAACTGTCTAAATTATTGACACATTTTTGCCTACGATGATTTACCAAAATTGCAAGAGTTGTTAAAACAAGTTAGTTTATTGTAATATTTTCCAGGGATTAAAGATGGCCTCACCGTTCATTTGGTGATAAAGTCAGCAAACAGAGTATGTTAATTAATACTTTTTTAATTCTTAAAGATATTGGAAAATTGTTCATCTTCATAGATTAATTATTTTCAAAATATTCAGGCACAACAACAGGCAGCAGAACACGCTACTAGACAGGTAAATATCAATACAGACATCGAAAGACTTTGTTTCTTTGAACAAACACAGTTTGATTACAGTGTGTAACGGTGTAAAGAAACAGCCGGTAAGCCTATATGTTGCAAATAAAAAAGCACGCGAAAGAAGCAGAGAAGATCTTGTCAGAGTCTTATTTTGACATTGTTAAATCACAGTTAATAAAATAGGAGGTTAAATCGATAGTTGTTAAAAATAGCTTGCGGCGGCACCTTTGAACTTTCATCCCGGCAACCAGGCCATTGCCAGCCTGCTTGTGAGTGTTTATATGGACAAATTTTCATCTCGGTAAATGAGATTGTGCCTCTTTCAAACCAGATCTTGGCAACCGGCCCAGCAATTTCTCCATATAAACCAGATGATCTTGATATGCGGAAAAGTACTGGCACTAGTTGTCAAATAGAAATCCATTTTATGATTAAAACAACTAAATATCTCCAGTAATATACTTTATTTCGATTCCATATTTTTGTCAGAGCTAGAGTTCTCATAACCAAACATAATTACAAAATTTTAACTAGTTTCATAAAGAATAACGAAAGATATAATTGACTGAATACATCAAAATGGATTTCTATTCGGACAACCCTTTCTGAGCGCTGATTGGCTAAAATACGAACACGAGATCACCTGGAACACATGGTAATTTTTACTATAAAAATATTTCACAGCGAGATCTTGCTTACCGGGCTGTCTCGCTAAGTGGGTCAGCCTGGCTTCCATATAAACAGCCCCTTAAATGAAAAGACACAATTCTCCTAGATAGTTCTTAATAATGCTGGTAGTACTACTATCTATTTCAATGTTTGATTCAAATTGGTTTGATCAAATTAGTATTGCACCAAGTATAATTTGATGAAAGTGAGTGACATTGTCAACCTTCTATTTAAATCTAATGATCTTATGATGTTATTTAGCCACCCTCATCAGGGACGTCCACCACACCACCAGCCAGCAATCCTCCAAGACCATCATCAAACACGCCAACTCCGCCACCGATGTTTGGCGGACTTCCTCCCGGAATGGGGATGGGTAATGATATTTTGCCATAATTGCAATTTTAACACTCTGACTGCGTATGCATTCCAATACGCCCTTTCCTGTAAGTACTTTATCTTGGCTGTACAGCCTCGTTCTTGTGATTGAGATGTTGGGCTTTAACTAATCTCACACATGAAAATGAAGCTCTATGGCCACCATCTAAATTATTATAGCATTATTTTACAGATAAAGCACAAAACTGACTAAAGATACTTTTTAAGTTTGTTTGCCGCTTGAGAAACGTATAAAAAATTATGAATATAGTGACATAACCAAGAAAAAAAATATATTCACTAGTTTTGAGTGCATGTTACGTAACATACAAGAGATTCTCCTCTTACTGCAATGGATCCACATCTACAGTATACATATACTGTATGCCCCAAAGCTGTAATCAACTGTTCGCTAATGTATACAAATAACTTTAATTTCAGGTGATATGCAGCAAATGCAACAACAGGTTAGCATTTAAGATGCTTGAAATTCCTAATGTTAAAAAACTTTTCAATAATAATTTAAAACATTATTTATTTTTGATTTTTCACAATCAATTAGTTGATGAATAATCCTGAAATGATGCAGCAAATGTTCGAGAACCCATTAATACAGGTATTAGTTTATTGCCTTTCAAATTTTCATTGAATTTTTCCAAGAATAAATCTCATATTCTCAAATTAAACATTTCATAGAACATGATGTCAAATCCAGAACTTATTCAACAGATGATTATGAGCAACCCACAAATGCAGCAATTGGTCGAGGTAAATGCAATAAATTGCTAAATTGGGATGGTTTGGGGTTTTTTCCAACTACTTATAATAATACTTATGTTATGAAATTTACAACAATATTTTTTCCCATTCCAGCGAAGTCCAGAAATTTCTCATATATTAAATAATCCGGACTTGATGCGGCAGGTAGGTTAACATTTCCAGACAGCATGAATTTGAATTGGTTTCAAGCTGATGTGCCCTATTTTATTGGGTGCTGCCACTCAATGAGTTAATAGCTTTGGAAAACAATTTATACTGTTGATTTAGTCAAACAATTTTGTATAATACATCATATTGTTTGCTTTTTGCCGCTGCTGTATAGACATTGGAAATGGCGCGTAACCCTGCTGTTATGCAAGAAATGATGCGAAATCAAGACAGAGCTTTGAGTAATTTAGAGGTACTGTATGTCTCAATGTTTACAATACTGCACAATGGTTTGGATGGCTGCTTTTCTACCCAGCCTCTTTGAGACACTGGTTGCATTCAAGACTTTTAGTCGTACCTGACTGGTACTCCCAATAATTATTGCGGGCGGCATACTTGAGCTAGTACAAACTCAAGGTGTACTTTGAGTCTTTAAAATGAAGTACATAAAGTAAAGGTTTCTGAAAGGTATTCATTCAGCAACCTAAAACTACGAGTTAGAACAAGAAGGACAATACTAGAATCGACTCATTCCTTAGGCTTGCCTAGTCCCATCAGTCCAATATTTTTTCATGCCATGACATGTCGGACGTGCCCATATGCCGGATTAATTACGGTTTGAATACATTTGGTTTGGAAAGGTCATATGGTACCAGCAAAATGTAAGTACGCAAAGGTGTTCACCCAGCCGAAATCATTGGTATAGACGTAACATAGGACATTCTGGCAATTTGAAATATGGTTATGGGTTATAATTTCAGACTACAATATAGTCATGTAAAGTGTGCTTACAGGTATAACAAGTCCTTGCATTTGTTTAAAATCTTATTTTTAGAGTCTACCGGGTGGTTTTAATGCGTTGAGAAGAATGTACACAGATATTCAGGAACCCATGATGAATGCAGCCACTGAACAAGTGCGTGAATTTCAATGAATATACTTTTTAGACATGCACGTTTCAACATATTACACGTACATGTAGTTGTACATTCTTTCGCTCGTCCCGACTGCTTTTAATAGCCCATTTATACACGTAGACAGATCATCAGGCTTGTGTAAATACGAGGCCTACAACAAGCTACAATAATACACTTTGCAATGAAAAGTTTTCAAAACCTAGAATCTTTTTGGCGTACTGCGGTACCTCTCAAAATTGCTTTGTTTAGCTTTATTCTCTAGTTTATACATTTAGCTACCTTTTTAAATGCATTTGCCAGTTAAGAAAGGACAAAATTGTCATTATTGATGCTTTAAGATAGCGACGTCATATTTACAGCTCAATATAAGCAAAACTTATTGGACTTCGGACATCATTTTCTCTTTGGCGTACCATCTAAAATCTCTTCATTTTAGCATTATTTTACAAATAAAGCACTATAAACATACTTTTTAAGTTTGTTTGCCGCTTGAGAAACGTATTACTATCGAAAAATAAAAATTTTGAATGTAGTCATAAGTGGTATATTATACAATACTCATTTATTTTCGCATAGTTTCAGAATGCCCAGAGCAATCCGTTTTCAGCGCTGCTAGGAGGCACAGCTGCAAATGGCGCAGCAAACAGCAACACCCCACCTCAGCCTGGCATAGAAAACACGTCACCATTACCGAATCCGTGGCAACCGTCGTCTGGTGGCACGGCCCCCACGCGGCCTGTCATACCCACGCCCCCCACAACCTCTTCCACTGGTTCTACGACTGCCGGCTCAACAACGACTTCAAGGTAAAGTCCTGTTTTGATAAGATGACGTCAGAGCGAGTCGATTTGGTGGCGGTACAGTCATTGCGTTGTAATTGTCGGGTTGAAAAGTTGCTCAGAGGGTCTTAATTAAGTCATCCCGCTAGCTACACACGTAAAAACGTACAAGTTGTAACAAACCTGCAGCAGACTTGTAGCAATGCTGTTCCAACAACTTGTCAACAGGATGTGTTCGCACTGCTTGTTCCCAGCTTGTTGACAACTTGCTACAAAGTTGTTGAGCTCAACAGACCTGTTACATGTTGTTCCAACAACTTGTTATCGTCCTGCAAATCAACAATTTGTCAGCAAATTGTGAGTGACAACCTTGTAACAACTTGATGAAATAACAGCGTTGTTACAACTTGTTGACAAGCTTGCCATAATCCTGTTGCGAACACATCTTGTGAGATCTTTACGTGTTTACATGCGTAAAAACGCACAAGTTATTACAGATCGGTATGTTGCTACGAGCTTGTTGTCATCAACTTGTTACGTGCAGAAGATATCAGACTTGTTGGAACAACTTGTTGCGAGTCTGTTGGCCTCGTAATCAACCTTGTTACAAAATCATAACAACTTGTTCCATACTTGTCATACGTGTCTAGCTTGGAATAACTTCTCATTCCGGAACGAATTCCCAACGGGATAATGTAGCCACAAAATACTCTCAGCCCTGAGCGGTCTGAATTTTTGTAACAATGCTTATGATAATACAAAAACTCCAGACAAGGTTAGCAGCATTGGTTGTGGATTACATTTTCGAACGTGAATGTTTCGGATTTCAAATATTGGGCCACCAATAATCAAACTAAACTTTTACAAATATTAAGATATGATTTTTTTTCTGTGTTGGTGTTGTGTACTCAGGTGAATATGATGTTTGTGGTGTTACTCTGAGTGTATATCCACACTGGGCGAGCTTGAAATATATACCCGGCCACGGTGGGAATCGAACCTACGACCTTTGGAATACTAGCCCAATGCTCTGCCAACTGAGCTACGCGGTCAGGACGGTTCGAGTAAGTGATATTTCGGAACAGAATCTACAACACCAACACAGAAATCATATTACTAACTAGATCACACTGGTACCAACACAGAAAAAAAATCATATTACTAACTAGATTACACTGGTATCGAAGGAACTAGATTCTGTTCCGAAATATCACTTACTCGAACCGTCCTGACCGCGTAGCTCAGTTGGCAGAGCATTGGGCTAGTATTCCAAAGGTCGTAGGTTCGATTCCCACCGTGGCCGGGCATATTTTTCAAGCTCGCCCGGTGTGTATATACACTCGGAGTAACATCACAAACAAAATATTAAGATATTACAACATGCTACTGATTTACAAGATTCCCGTGCGGGAATCCGTTTCATATGGAGTGTAGGTTGTCAATTTCTCTTTCGAATTGACTAAGAAAGCATATTGCTTGTACATTTTGAGGTAACTCATCAGGTCCACAACACTTTGTAACTAAAACTTCGTTTACCATAGTTCGTTCGCGGTTTTGGCACAATTAAGGTGTTTTCAGAGTTTCTCAAATAGTATGGTAAAACCTTCAAATACTTCTCATTGCCAATTCCTATTTTCTTCAGTGCTGGTTCGTCTCCATTGGCATCCATGTTCCAAACTCCAGGGATGCAGAGCGTCATGGATCAGATGACACAAAATCCGGAACTTATGCAAAATATGATGTCATCTCCATATGTTCAAAATATGATGAGCCAGATGGCACAAAATCCAGAACTCATGGGCTCGGTAAGTATAAGTACATGCATTCCTCTTTTCAACAAAAAATGTAGATCCCAAAAAAATTCTGGGTTCCGATACTTTTCCTATACCTCTTTGAAGTTTAATCTCATGTGTTTTTTTACAGATTCTTCGCGGCAGCCCTCTATTTGCAGGCAATCCTGAGTTACAACAGCAGGTATTTCAAAGTATATTGTACAAGAAACTACCCGAGAAAGAATTATCGTATAAAATTCTAAACGGCCACGCCACACCGAATCTAAGAGAATCCTTCCAATTAAATAATGAAACGGATAAAACCTCTTAGAAATAGTTCTCTATAAGCCGACGAAAGATTTCGGCAAGAGGTGTTCTAATAAAAAAGCACTTTGCAAGAGCCTACCTTATGAGAGAAAAAATCACTCCATCCCTATGTGCCTTTAAAACGATTATTAAACAAAAAATGCTTTGAAACTGGCTCATCAATTTTCATTTTTGAATCTGTATAGGAATGTTCGGTATGAGAAATTTCCGGTATCGGTATACCGAAAAAATTATACCGATATTATCGGTATACCGGTTTTCCTTTGATAATTAGAAAGGAAAATTCTTTAATGGAAATTTGAAGGAAATTTTGAGTAATTCTAAAAGGGAAAACGATAATTTCGAAGCTGTTTCGAACATGTTTCGAACGACACGTACTCAGTGTAAAATCTGACTGAAGTGGAAATTCTAAATCATTGCAGTAGGAAGTTCTTTGAATTGCCATTCAGTAGTAAAATAAAGGTTATGGTTTCGCCATATAGTTGGTAAATTTAACACGGTATACTGAAAAATTCCGGTATATCGGAAATTTCGGTATATCGGTATGGTTGAATATCCGGTATCGATATACCGATATTGATTTATGATACCGATATTTTCGGTATATCGGTATACCGAACAGTCCTAAATCTGTATGTGATATGTATTTTCATAGTGTTCTCTTGCTTCTGCTTTCGTTATTTTTTATTTTGATTATCTTCCTCTGTTACATACTGCGTGTATATATTGTTTATATGTTTGTATTGTTTAATCACACCCCTCGTAGAAAGCCCAGCTTTTAGTAGTTGTTAAAGCTAGCGTGTTCAAATGAAGAGACGCTAGCTACAGTACACGCTCCCTGTTCCAAAGCTATACAGTACATACAAAGTCAAAACTATAAAAACGTACTGACCTATGCATACAGATATAAATCCACAGAGATGTAGCTCGACAGTAGGGGAGTGCATAGACGGATTGTAAAGTTTTGAAACTCTATTATCTTCCCTGAATAGAGTCTGCAGTGTCTTGTCATGCAAATAGCTTGCTTGCAAGGAACGTTTGGAATTTTTACGAACATTATTTCTAGTTTTTAATTCTTTTATGAAATAGACTTGCCTAGATTTAATCTTTATACTGCATCATAAATTGCATCATAAATTGTACTCGGATTCAAACGACACAGTGTCAATGACTTTATAAAAGTAAAAGCATATTGTGTATTGGCCTATTGGGTTTACACTTTTACAGGTTCATTTAACTTAAACTCTCTCAAGTCTCAACAGACAATCGGAAGCTAGAAATCATGATTTTATTAAAATTTTTCCAGGGATACTTTGTTTTCTGCTCTCTAGACTCCCCCTCGCGGCTCTAGTGCTCCACCCCTAGAATACAGTATAGACCTTATTGGGGTTTGGTGACACTTTGTGTTGCTTCAGTCACCTGCTCACGGCTCACCCCCCCCCCCTAAAATTTCTGGCACCACCCCAGTAAAAAATATGAAAATCCGTCTATGGGCAAGTGTTAACACTGTTTTCTCTTCAAAGGCATTTTTAATACTGTTGCTGTAATTCAACACCTTAAGACAATTATGCATAAGACAATCATGCATGCCTGTTTATATGCAAATCGTTTGAATTTCAGAATCACACTTGAAACAAAACAAACATATTGCTTCTGAAAGTAGCTCATTGTATATTCTTTGGTTATGTATATGTGAAAGTAATTCCACATAATATTGCTGTGTGTTATTTCAGATGACAGCCCAGATGCCAATGCTGATGCAACAGATGCAAGATCCAAGGTTTCAGCAGATGATGAACAATCCACGTGCTATGCAAGCCATGATGCAAGTTCAACAAGGAATGCAGAATCTGCAGTCCGAAGTTCCTGGATTTTTTGCTGGGTCTGGCCCCACACCCCCGACTACTACCCCTTCCACTACCCCTTCCACTACCCCTTCCTCTAACAACCCCGCTACCCCTCCCACCACCACCACCCCGAGTAGCGCTGGGGGTACAAACACTACTCCAGGTGGGTAATTAACTGAAAATACATTGCTTTACATAACCTACACACCCAAAAATCTCACATCTTGCAGCAAGTCTGTCAACAAGTTGTGTTCGCACTGCTTGTCCCAAGTTGTCAACAAGTTTGGAACAAGCTGTTAACAACTTGTAACAACCTTGTTGATATTATTAGACTTGTTGCAAGGTTGTTCCAACAAGTCCGATACAGTGTTGATATAACAATATACTGCTACAACCTTGTGTCATCAACCTTGTAACATTCTTGTTATATCACGACTGTATCACACCTGTTAGAACAATCTTGTAACAAGTGTGGTAATAAGTTCTTTGTAGGATTAAACATACAATACTTTTTGTTTGTGGAAACATCATGTAAATTTATTACTGCAGTAATAAATTTACATGGTGTTTCTGCAAACAAAAAGTATTAAGTGTAGTAATGCTATCAAACTTGTTACAAGTTGTTAACAGCTTGTTCCAAACTTACAAGTTGTTAACAGCTTGTTCCAAACTGGGAACAAGCACTGTGAACACAACTTGTCGACAGCTTGTGGACAAATTTGCAACAATTTGTTCACAGTCCTATAACAACTTGTGAGTTTTTGCGTATGTAAGTATGAGCAGCTGATATGTATTCGATTTGCATGTGCAAAAAACTGATGGCTTGTGAACAAGATGTGTTCGCACTGCTTGTTGTTGACAAGTCTAGCACAAGTTGTTATCATCCTGTAACAAGGTTGACGAGGCTAACAGACTCGCAACAAGTTGTTCCGACAAGTCTGGTATCGTTTGCACGTAACAAGTTGTTAACAAGTTGAAGCATGACAACAAGTTCGTATAGCATAGTTACGAACAGGCTGTATTAGTCTTGTTGGAACAACTTGTAGCAAGTCTGGTAGACTGGTACCGTCATCAACATTGTAACAAGATGTGATAACAACTTGTTCCAGACTAGTCACAACAACTGGGGACAAGGAGTGCGAACATGTTCATCCTGATATAACAACAACTTTGTTACAACTTGTTTGAAGATATGCATCGTTACAGGTCTGCAAACAAGTTGTTAATCTGATAATATCAACAAGGTTGTTGCATACAAGTTGTTAACAGCTTGTTCCAAACTTGTTGACAACTTGGCCAAGCAGTGCGAACACAACTTGTTGACGGCTTGTTATAGCAGACTTGCTAGTTGCTACCTAATCCTGAGCACAGGCGAATAAATGTTTGCGAATATATGTTTCGCTGGAATACAAAAACATAACTTGTTTTTCTGCTTTTCTTTAGCCACTGCTGATCCAATGATGAGCGCTTTAATGAGTCAGTTTCTAACTTCCTCAATGGGTCAAGTACGCGTTCACTTCTACAGAATAGTTTGAACTTCTTTTGTCATGTAGCATCTTAATTTTTTCCCCCCTAAGTAAGGCATGACAGCTGTGATTTTACTTTACAGACAACGGCTCCTGAAACAAGATTTCGCGCACAACTTGAACAGTTAACCGCCATGGGATTTTCTGATCGAGAACGAAATTTGCAAGGTGAGAAATGTTTTTTGGCTGTGTAAATATAAGGATTATTGTAGGCGCTCATCCGATTAATATAACATCACCGTATCCATGAACTTGTGGTTAGAGCTCGACAACTGGCCTCTGTAGCTCAGTTGGTTAAAGCGCTGTACCGGAATCGCAGGGCCGGGACCTACAGTATAATTACATTATATCAGTTGTAAGATGTTTTGGTTCTGCCAGGGACCTACAGTATAATTGCATTATATCAGTTGTAAGATGCAAGACGAATTATCTAGGTGAACAAGCTAATGACTGTATGGTTTTTTTTCAGCCCTGATTGCAACTGGAGGTGACGTAAACGCTGCTGTGGAAAGGCTTCTTAGCGGATAAATAACACAACTTGATTGAACACGAGCTAACGGGACAAAATTACGAATACGATTCACGGTTTTGTAACTATTGAATCTTAAAATTTATGGCCGTGCATGCGTACTAGAAGGCTATACCCCTCAACTGCCGTTTGTTTGGAATAATTTGAATAAGTTTGATGATGTATGAGAGAGTCGCATGCCTTCGAGGTGTTAGCTGTAGTGAAGAATTTAGCGTTAAATTATAGGTTTGCGCTTGCGACCATGTTGGAGAGACGCTAAGGGGGACTGGTCATTATTTATGGCGGGGGTGGCACCGAAAAGAAATGTTTTTCTTAGTAAAAGTTTTGCTGATCGAACCATTAAAAAGTCAAATTTTAAAAACTTTACAAAAGAATACCATTCAGTTGTCGCACATGTCCTTTACCACTTCTGTGACACGAGTTTGATAACTGCTTGTGCAATTTTCTGCAGTCTAAAGTTTCATGTTGTCTGCACATGTACTTTCTTTCAAGACACCATTTTGCCTCCTGACAAATCGGAAAATGATCAAGATAGTGACTCTGATTAATTTACATAATGTATTGACATATGACTGTTGACATTGCTCTTTAGTCTTCAATATTTGAGTGAGTCATGCTTTGGAAATGACAATACATTTGTATTACCCAACCTTTGGGTCGTTTTGTTTTTCATTTACCCAACCTTTTACTCACTTTGTTTGCCCAACCCTTTTCTCTTCGGTGCTACCCCATAAATAATGACCGTTCCCTAACAACAACAAAAAACAAAGCAGCTATTGTATTTGGAGTGTATTTTTCAGAGATGAATGGAAATTAAGATTCTATCATGTTAAGTTTTATTTCATCGCTAAATTTTTCCTTTGGCTAACACCTTTTATACATATGTATTAGGAAAACCCTGCTATTAATATTTCTTATAACAATAACACAAAAGTTGAACATCTTTGCATAGTGACTTGTGAATGGTGATCATAATATGGTATTGATATAAACTGATCTTAGATGTTAACATCTGGAGTTATTGCTGGTGTTTTAAACTTTTCCGCGCAGATATAGTTTGCCCGAATATTTTTTTTTATCAAAGTGGCTCGTACTATGAATTTGGACCTCCACCCTAAAAAATCTGCTTGAACATGATTAGCGGAACTTCTACTGTTAGAGTGTGTTGCTTTCTTGAAACGATCTAACTGATTAGTGAACTCACGAGAAAATACTCAGAATTCTCTAGTTAAATATCATGGTTTTATATGTAACAGGTCGAGGTTGTTATACAGCCATATTTTCAGACACACTGTACTTTAACAAGCAAATGATAAAACGCCAATATAAACTTTATAAACAAGAGATAATCTAGAACGTAACAGAGCGGCGAACATGCAGGGATAGCAGCGTTGCAAACTGCAGAGGAATTCTCGGGCAGTATAAGGCTCCCTTCTGCACCACCCCATGGAAAACCTGCACCCCTCCTTGCAGATGAGGCTAGATTCGCTCCCGATCAAACCCCGGCGCAATGGCGAGCAACAACAGTGTTGCATAGAATTAGTCTTAATCGGGCGTGTTTTCTTCATTATTTTATGCATTGCCCGACAAAATTGAAAATTCTGGTTTTTGCAGTTTCCTTGATATCACCGCAATTTGATCGAAGTCGAATCAATCGGATTAGTGAATCCGACCACTGTAGCATATATCTGGACTGGGCATGGATTAGATCAGGATTTTGTCACTGATCATAAAATTGGGGTCACGGAGTGTCACGCAGTTTATGAAAAATCATCTAGTGGTAGTTTAGTTTTAGTTTATACCAAGTGAATCAACAGTATTTTGTTGAGTCACTTCACCTCACCATCTTATATACAACAGCACTCGTATGTCACTTTCCCACAGATCTCAGCGATGGTAATAGCCTGGCAATGAACTACCCGAAAGGCCCTGGGTCGAGGTTGTGAACCACCTCCGCAGGCCGTAATGAATTCTGTAATTTCGCAAGACAGAGTATCAGAGAACTGATTCTGACCTACCTTTACGATAGGAGATTAAGAAAGAAAATTAAAAGATTCGATCAGTGACAGCAGACATAACCATAAAAAAATATGAAAAAATTCTATCTAGAACTAGTTACATCCGTGTGGCGTGTGCCACTGCAAACAGCAGATTCTAAACGTCAGGGAGCTGTTTCTAAACCTCAGGGAGCTGTTTTGATCTTCACATTAAATTGTGGTGTTATTAAACAATGTCCAATATCATTTACAAGTCCAACTATATTTGTATCTAAAAATATAATTACAATTTGTTGATGGTCCTACTTCTGCGTCTGCAATTGTCTGTTTTGTCGTGCTTTATTGTGTCTGTTGCGATCTAAAGTATAAACAACCAATAGTCAATCAATAATTGATACATTATCAATCAATGCAATCAATATAATCAATCAATGCTATTATCAATTAATGAATATAATCAATCAATGATTATATCAACAAATATAATCGGTAAAATTTATAATGAATTAATGTAATTAGCCTATAAATATAGTCAATCAACATAGTCAATCAATCAATATAATTAGTATAATGAATATAACCAATCAATGAATAAGATCAATTAATAATTATAATCAATGAATATTATCAATTAATGAATATAATCAATCATGAATATGATTAATCAACAATTATAATCAATATAATCATTACAACATGTAATAAATCAATATAATCTGCCAACGAATATAATCAATCAATAATTATAAATATTATCAATATAGTCAATCAATATAATCAATCCATCAATGCATAATTTACCTTAGTTATTTCATCGTTTTACCTTTTAACTTTAATTCAATAATCTTTTCCTGTTGTCCAAACACATTGCTTGCATAACACTTATACACCCCTTCGTCTACTTTCTTAACACTCAGTAACTTCAATTTTGACCTATTAAATGACTCTGTCGTCTGCCTTCTAATAGGTCTACCATCCTTAAACCATTTAAATTTTGCTCCGGGATAACTTCGCCTTGCGATACACTCTAAAATGACGTCTGATCCAGCGACCAAGTGTGTTTGTTCCTCTGGAATTTCATAGACACGAACGCTTCCGCGCCGTGGCGACAGCTGGTATTTTGATAGAACTGATTTTCTCAACTCGATTTTCGGTCTGAAAGGCACTAAAATGTGGGGAAATTCCAGTAAGCTCTTTAATAAAATAGGGACCATTATGATGTTTCGAGGATGAGAGTTGGTGAAAGTCAACGAGTCAAAAGTCAAAGTTCAGATGATAAGAGGTTTCGCTACGCACGTGGTAATATCCAGTCAACTCTCATGCAACTCTTGTTCTCATTTGACCAGGGCATGAGGTTGAGAAAAATCTCATGCAAACTCTCGCTTCGCAACTCTCATCAACTCTCATGCAACTCTTGTTCTCGTTTAACCGGGTCATGAGAGTTGAGAAAACTCTGATGCAAATTCTCGCTTCTCACTCTTATCAACTCATGCAACTCTTGTTCTCATTGATCGGGGCACGTGAGTTGAGAAAACACTCATGCAAACTCTCGCTTCTCATGCAATTCTTGTTCTCGTTTGATACATTGATAGTATACATGGCAAATATTTAAAAGCCATGCAAAAATCCATTAATAAAAATTTAAAAACTTTTCCTGTCAAAGAACGGCCGTTCATTACTGTAACAAGCTTCAAAGCATGCACCTTTATGTAATATTTCAAATCCTACTGTGAGGACTGGACTAGATTTTGATCAAGTCTGAGGCGAAGCCAAGGACTGGATCAAAATGCGAGGACTTGGAATCTACAGTAGTCCTGTCCGAATAGACCTTATGCATAATGACGTCACAAGGCTTGATGCCCGCGAGGAATGCTGGTCTTAGTAGTCATCGACCGGGAAAATTTCGATAGCGGCCATTTTTAATTGTTTGATTTTCCCGGGCGATGATTACTAAGACCGGCATTTCTCGCGGGCATCAAGTCTTGTGATGTCATTATGCATAAGGTCTATTGAAAGATTCGAAATGACATCACTACTTAATTTAATTAAAGTGAGGTGAATTAATTTTGACCCAGTCCTAGGACTGAATCAACATACTTCGCCAGGTATCCAGTATTATCATGTGAGCAAAATAAAGCAATACGGTTGGCTAATTTACTCATGAATTATTACTCAGATCTATACTTACACCGAGATGCGACAGTAGTCCGCTTTCTATCTTGACCAGCGGCATTAGACGCGACACAAGTATATATGCCATTTTGAGAAGGAACCAACTTTTCGAACACAAGTTTTCGACCACCCTGACTAACATATATGTCCTCATCTCTTTCAAAAGGATCGCCGTTCTTTTCCCACGACAAAACCGGGGTGGGAAAACCTGTGGCTGAACAGTAGATGGTCAGTTCTCTGTAGGCCAAGATTCGCAGGTTGATCCCCACGCTTATATGCAAGGGCGTGGGCATGTTATTTACAAGATATGGTCGTTTGTGTGTTGACTTTCTGATCTCTGGCTTTTCTGGGGCTGTGGAGAGAAAATAAATAGAAAGCATTGAAGTAAAATAACATGTTCAATCTCATGAGAATTTGAGAGAGTACGAGGAAAGCTGGGCTGTTTCGTAGAAGTCAAGCTGGAAACAAGTTACACATTTAAAAACGCACAAGTTGTTACAGGTCTGCAAATAAGTTGTTACAAATCTGTTCGCAAGCTGTCGACAAGTTGTGTTCGCACTGCTTGTTCCCAGTTGTTGTAACAAGTTTCGAACAAGCTGTTAACAACTTGTGACAGGTTTGATGGCATTATCAGACTTGTTACAAGGTTGTTCTAACAAGTTTGATACAGT